TAGACACAAAAAGGACGTGAAGACGCAGTTCACAGAAAAGGAAAGAAAAATGGCTCAAAAATTTTCAGAGATGTTTAACCGCCCTCCTCAGAAGACAATGCAAATAACAACAATGACCAAAGACAATTTCTCATTTAGAACTGTGACAATGCTCCAGGGGTGGGCGGGGTGGGGGTAGTGTGGGAACGGGCCTCCCATCTAATCAATGGAAGTGTGAATTGGTAATAAGATCTCTATGGAGAGCACTCTGACAACATCTATCAAAATAAAAACACAGCCTCCACTTCTAGGTTTCATGTGTGCCGGAATTTCACTATATGTTATATAATAACCAAAAGGCCCCCTTAGAAGGTGAGAAAACAGAGAGGAGGCTGCCCGCACTGGTGCACACCCTTCCCCCAAACAGGTGATCAAGAAGCAAGAAACACTGCGTATGGCATATTAAGGTTTAGGAGAGAAGATAGACATAAATGAAAATAGAATATTTTTGGAAGGATACATAAGAAACTGTAACCATGCTTGCTTTTGAAGAAGGAACTTAGACGCAGAGATGGTGAGAAATCTTGCTTTTATTCTTTATGTCCTATCCCATGTGGGTGCATTTTTTTATTACGGTCAGTTTCTAAAAAAAAAAAAAAAAGACATGTACAGACATGTTCACTGCCGTGTTGTATACAGCAGGCAGACTAAACCAAACCACACTGGGATGACCTACAGGTAAGTTCTTTCTAAAACTATTCCTATTGTGATGATAATGTAATTATTCTCCATCCTAATTGTACTGAGCCACTTTAAACAACTTCTAGTGTTGAGCCCCAGAAAAAGAAGTCAAGTTATTTCCTGGGATATTTAAACAGCTCTCAGGTTACACAGGAGAAAAGCCAGCAATCTATGAGAGTTTTTGGCAAATAGAAAAAAAACATCAGGACACTGGAGATGAACAAGCACCTTAAATTTCACGTACAGAAAGAGAGCAGGTTAGGAAGTGTTACTGACACTGATTTTAGGCAAAATTCTAAGGGTTGTTCAAGGAAGTGGAGAGCATTAGAAACCAACAAGGGTTCACTCTGAACAATACAGGGTTCACTATGCAAATTATTGAGAGGAGTGTTTTAAACTCAGCAGAACTGTGTTAAGCATGACAATCTTCCTACGTGGCTGGGCATAAAAGGAAGAGTAAGCAACAGCATGTGGAAGCTGAGGACCAACTTCATGATCCACTTAAGGCTGGTGAACCGACTTAAAACTCAAGACTACACAGTGTTAAGACCGGTCTTGGATGGCTCAACATTCTTAATCAAAGGCACCAACACGTGAAAATGCCCTGAAGACTTTACAGGGCTACATCAGCTTTATTTTGAAGGCACAGTGGATCCTGAAACACCAGGGACCAAGGCAAAGAATAGAAATTTACAAAGACAGAAATAAAGTAGAAATAAAAAAAGATCCTAACAGGAGAGATCTAGCAACCCTAAACTAGCAAGCATGCCACACACGGGCACCGGCTGAGAAAACCCTGCCTGAACAGGATCCCATCGAGCTTTGGGGACTGTGGCCTCAAGGTAGACAGATGATGAGTCTACTGAAAGCCTTCACACGCTGACTGTGAACTTCGTGAGTGGAAGATTCTGATCAGAACAGATCAGGGTGTGTGTGCCTGCTGGCCGTGTCCTGGGCAGTCTGCTTAAGAGACACGCACGCCATGTGAAGCTGTCAGAAGGGTAAATTCTGTTCCTTATGGAAGGACTGAAGGAGCTGGAGATTTCCTAGCCAGGAAAGAACCCAGCCCTTGTACCCTCAGATATCGGAGCAGGTGTGATACGAAGGAAGAAGGACCATTCAGAGGAGAATGCTGCACACACAGGCATGAGACGATCCTTGTTGTTGCCGCCAAAAAGCACATCTTTCTGTTGGAAGAGCTGCTGAGAAGTGGGCTGCTAGCTCGCGGGGCTCTCAGCAAGGGACGGCCATGCTGGGGACGCCACCGGGAGAGGACAGAGGTCTGTCAGCTCCAAAGCCCTGCCTAGCTCTAACAGCCTGGAGCTCTACGTGGCCTGGCAGTTTCACGCGTGTAGAGGCTATCCTAGCCTGTATAACCCAGTGACCCCCAGCCTTTTTCACACCGGGGACTGATTTTGTAGAAGACAACTTTCCACAGCCTGGGGGTGAGGGGGATGGTTTGGGGCTGATTCAAGTGCATTGCATTGATTGGGCCCTTTATTACTAGTCTAGTGCTGCTACTGATCTGAGAGGAGATATTGGTCTGTGGCACAGAGGTCGGGAACCCCTGTAACAGAAAGGACAATATGTGATATATATATATATATATATGGCATATATCTATAACATATATTTAATATAACGTAACATATTCATTGGAAGGACTGATGCCGAAGCTCCAATACTTGGGCCACCTGATTCGAAGAGCTGATTCATTGGAACAGCCCCTGATGCTGGGAAAGATTGAAGGCAGGAGGAGAGGGACAACAGAGGATGAGATGGTTGGATGGCATCACCGACTCGATGGACTTGAGTCTGAGCAAGCGCCGGGAGATGGTGAAGGACAGGGAAGCCTGGGGTGCTGCAGTCCATGGGGTCGCAAAGAGTCGGACGTGACCAAGCAACTAAACAACATCACTATGGACAACAATAAAAGGAAGAGCAAGGCGCCCTCCCCACCTAACACCTGGGGCGAGGACAGGGCCTCTGTGGCAGGGAGGGGCACACATGCGCTGAAGGAAGCCGAATGACGAAAACCTTGCACGGGGTTTCTTTGAGTGGGGAAGACCTTGGCACTCCGCTGCGGGGGAGGGCACCAGAGAGCACTCCTCAGACCCCGCACTTCCATCTGCTGACAGGAGAAGCAGCCAACTCTACTCCCTCTGGCAAACCACGCTGGCAGGCCCCTGACCCCGGAGTCGGCACCCACCCAGGATACGTTCCGCATCATGCATCTGATCCAGGATCCAGGGGGCACGGCCCACAGAGGAGGCGGCCGGCCTCAGCTCTGCCAGAGTGTGCTTAAAAGGCTCTTGAGAGCATTGGTTATGGAACAGAACACCGTGGAAGGACAGACCTTTATTTAGATCTTATTTGTGCGTGAAAATCAATATGTCCTTTTTAGTCTTGGTCTTGCAGGAAAATGTGTCTCTCCCTACTGCCCCCAAGTCTGCACCTCTTGCACTGCCTTGTCAGCTGCCTGGAGCTGCATGGCAGGCACCCCAAACCACGCTGCGCATACGTGAGCCCCTCGATTGCTCACCTGCAACACCTGTCCAGTTCTCTGAGGTGCCCGCAGAGCCTGCTTTCAAGGACGGTTCTATTTGTCTCCTCCCACCATCCACAGCACGACTAGGTAACGATTCTCTGTCCCACCTCCTAACTCCAAGTTGGCCTCCCCTGTCACCCCGGGACAGACCACCCTGTACATGCATCTGCTTTGATATCCATTATTCCTCCCCTACTGTAGAAAGAGGCTCAAAGTATTTGACAGTGTTGCAAACCCTTATTTTCACAGACATACAAACAGTGTTAAGGTACTCAATGTTCTTCATTTTTCCTGCTGGTAAACAAAAGACAGATATTGACCTCCATGGATGGGAAACAGTCACAGAAACGCCTTGGCAGAGGACAGGCTGACTGGGGGTAGGGGGCTCAAGGTGAACAAGCTAGAAGGATCTTCCCATTAACAGGTAATCCAACAGTTCCCAGAGGCCAGATCATTTCTCAGCAGGCTGGTACAAGCTGAAGACAATGGTTATGATGATGTAAGAGTTTCATCTTACACATCCATGAGGCACAACTGTTTACCAACACACGTTTCGGGGGAGGGGGGGAATACATGCCCATGGACTATTATAAACCGTCGAATTTCAGTGTTTTATTTAAACAAAGCATTTCAAACTCTACCCAGAACTGCATGGAAGTGGGGGAAAGGTCTACATTTACTTCGAAAGCCAAATTAGTTGTTTAAAACACAGAAGGGGCAAAATAACACAAGTTGTTTGACGCACTGGCATATGACCTCTCTTACATGTTAAGAAATCCAGACAATATGTAGGGGTCTTGGGTGTTAACTTCCTAGTAGTGCCCATTCTCCGTCTCTTCGCATCTCTTGCAAACACTCCTGTTCTGTCTCCCAGGATGCTGGACCTCGGCTAGAGGGGACCCCTGGGCTGGAGCAAGTCCATGTGGAGCTGAGGCTGGCCAGGATCCGATCTCAACGCCAGGACCAGAGGGCTGCAGTGTGAGAGCCTGGCTGTCCCGGAACAGCACAAACTCAGCACCCTTCCTAACTCCAGAGGTGTTTGCTTTCTCAGGAACACTGGGGGTGGCAAACTCCAACGGGAAATAAATACCCCAGCCTCTGGGAAGGACTGAGCTTGGGGACAGGGAAAGGGAGATTTCAAAGGTCGTTTGCTACTCTGGCCACCACTTGGGCTCTCCCGTCAGCTTTAGTCAGCTTCCAGTGCCAGCGGGGGATGGCTGGGGTCTGCCAGGAAGAACGCCTGGGCATAAGAGCGATTCTGAAGGGGCTGGTTCTCTGTGGGAGACTCGGGGGGCAGTGGGGCAGCAAAGGGCTGAGCCCGGGGCCTGGCTCCAGCGGGCAGACCTTGAGAGCGGCTCACAGACCAGCCTCTCGCCCTCCGCGGGCCACCCCTGCCGGAACGCAGTGACAGCTCCAGGGTGGGGGAGGGGAGCTCGCTCCCTCGCGGCGGGAGGGGCGCCCCTTGTGTGTGCGCCAGCGGGGACGCGAGTTTGGGTTCCCCTGGGAGTCGGGAGGCAGAGCCGCCGCGAAGGGCTGCGGGAGCCCAGCCGCGCACCCAGGCCCGCACCTCTGGGGGACGCAAGGAGGGCGAGCCCACGGGAGGCCGCGGACACGCGAGCGCGCACCACCGCAGGACCCCGTCTGCAGAGCGCGCGGGGAAGTGCGCGGGGACCGCGGAGGGCACAGCGCGCTCGGGATGGGGACGCGGGGCCGGCGCGGTCGCTGGCCTTACCTTGCTGACCACGTTTTGCACCAGGCCTGTGCGGATGCCGTAGTCCCACGCGTGGCAGTCGCAGTTGGAGGCGTTGTCTCCCTTGTCCGGGGGGGACGGGAGGGGCGGCGCCTCGCCGCCGTCCGCGCCGCTGCCATTGCCGAGGGGGCCCGCTGTCCCCCAGGCGGCGGTGGGGAAGGGGGTGGTCGGGGGGCTGGTCCCGTTGGCCAGGTCGCCGCCGCCCCAACGGCCCGTGGCCGTGACCCCCGCCGACTCGGCGCCCTTGCCGGCCCCGCGGCACCAGAAGTTGGGCTGGTCCAGGAGGAAGGAGTCCGAGAACTGGCTGAAGCCTATGAACAGCGCGGGGATCCAGGTGAGCAGGACGAGGGTCTTCTGGTAGCCGCCGCCCAGGCCCCCGAGGAAGGGCAGCACCGACCCGTCGTAGTCCAGCAACAGGAGGCTCGGGTGCGTTCCGCCGGCGGCGTGCGGCGCGGGCAGCGGCTGGATGTCACCGCCGCCCCCGGGGCCCGCGCGTCCCCCGAGGGGCGCCGAGGCC